AGGGATGGACGGGGCATCCACAGCCTCTCTGGGCAGCTGTTCCAGCACCTCACCACTCTCACAGCAAAGACCTTCCCCCTGACATCCAACCTCAATCTCCCCTCCCTCAACTTCCAACCATTTCCCCTTGTCCTGCAGTTATCTGCCCTTTCCAAGAGTTGATTCCCCTCCTGTTTGTAGGCTCCCTTTAGGTACTGAAAGGCTGCAATGATTCACCCTGCAGCTTCTTTTCTCCAGGCTGAACAAGCCCAGCTCCCTCAGCCTGTCTTCGTAGGGGAGGTGCTGCAGCCCTGCTCATCTTTGTAGCTCCTCTGGACCCTCTCCAACAGCTCCCTGTCTTTTTTGTACTGGGGGCTCCAGACCTGGACACAGTGCTGCTGCTGTGTCCCAGCTAATAACATTCAGACACACATACCCCAAAATCTGCCTTTAAGTGTTGGTGTGTCTCAGTGAATAAGTTGTGTGAAAAGGGCATGCGTTGGCTTTTAACTAAGAGAAAGCTCTTTGAATGGGGTATTCCACTGTGAATTGCCTCACAACATTGGGTAACTGTGCAGTAACTCTGGATGGCGTTTACTGAGCATCCTCCAAGAGGAATCTTACCTTGTTAAAGACCAAATGCTGTGATATATACCAATGTGTTACCTTTGAAGTGTGGAACACTGTGTGTACAGCAGAGCAAAGTGCTGCCTCGTTGCGTGTCCCAATCAAAGGCTCTTTGCTGTTGTTCTGCTCCAGCCTGGAGCTGCCACTGCAGTTTTGATGGCTTACCTCCCTTAGCAAAGTGAAATGAGCTGTCAGTGCTGTGAGCCCAGCAGCTCATCCTGGCATCTCCAATGGCACAGAGGCAGCACGCTCAGCTGCAGGGAGGTCTGCAGTTCTGTGCATCATTCACTCTGAGTTTGGGCTGCCCCTTCATGGCAACGTACCCCACTCTCAGAGCAGTCTGACAGACGCTCATTGGCAATGCTTTCTTACAGCTTTCCCCCATCTTTTCCCATTGACCAAAACTCAAAGCGTTGATTTGTTGCCTGTGTTCTCTCTCCTTGTGCAGGCTGTGGGATCCGCACGGCGGGACGGCATCGCCATGTTTCGGAACAGCCTCAAGATGCTCCTTACAGGAGGGAAATCGAACCGCAAAAACAGGTCCAGTGGTAAGTGAGCTCCTCAGGTGTGTCCTGCTGGCAGTGCTCCTTTCTTGTTGTGCGAGCTGCTTTCACTGGGCCCTTTTATCTTGTTAATGAACGGATGCATCGGTTGGTGATGCGGTGGACTCAACACATCATTGAGGGTCATTGTAGTACCACGTTGTGATGTAATGCTATAAAACACTGCAAGCAAACCACGTGCACTTTCATTGCAGAGATAAGGTGCAGAGAAGGGTCATAGTTACACATCAGCAACACTTGTGGCAGCGTTAGCAATTCTCTGTTCCGAGAAACAAAGATGAGGGGAATGGAGAAATGGGAAGAGATGGAATTAAGGAAAAAGCGTCCAAATTTGGTCAGTGCTTCTGCCCATCTCCTCACTGCAGCGTCCCAGGAGCACTGCTTGCTTCTTGTCCTGCTCCATCCAGGTGGGAGCTTAGCTGAGGTTGTGGTCGTGGAGCAAAGCATTGCAAGAAATACCAATGTGCTTGATAAGTATTCTTGTTGAGCTTTCGTAGTTCCTTCCAAAAATGGATTGCTGACAGCGTAAGAGCTTCGAATTAGTTCTTCCATTCTCCTTTGTGAAGCCATCTGGCAGCACACTTGGAGTATTTTGGGATGGATTGTTGGTTCGTGCTTTTGTCTGTGTAAATAGCATAGCTGTGTATTCCGTGGGAAACCACAAGAGAACATGCAGAGATGCAATGGTGATAAACGCAATGGGAAAAACAAACCAAACAATCCCCTCCTTTCCCTTGGCTGAAATGATTTAATTGATGCTTCTGATGAATACTGATTCTGATATATACATCTGATTTCCTCTGGTTTTAATATCTTCTTGGCCAGGTTTGGTTTGGGAAGGATTGTGGCATCCAGGTCACTTTGGGCTGCAGCCATTTGTTGGGAGCAGCTGTAGCAGTGTGTGGTGACTTCTTGCTCTCCTGGTTGCACTCAGCATGTGTCTGTTACATGTGAGTGGGAAAAGCTCTGTTTGCAAATAGCCCCGATGTGACCACAGCCCACAGGAGCACTTTATTGTTCCCTGCTTTTTTTTCCGGTTTTATGTCCTTGGGATTTGCTTCAGTTCTGGCTCTGGTTGCAAGGTGCCCATACAGGGGGCTGTGTGGGCTTTGGAGGTCACACTGCCAACCTGGCCCTGGTGATTTGTGGTTATTTTCTTGTTCTTGTTTCTTGTGAGCAGAGCAGAGAGAGAAACATGTTCCTGGAAAGCACTTTGGTGAGGTTTTCCAGCAGGTGGACCTTCTTGTAATGCCCTGTGGCCACGTGTCATGCACCTTGCTGTGGTTCTGCCTTGGAAATACGTTACTTTACTGAGAAATGCTCTTCAGCCTTCGTTTGGGGAGGAGAGGGAATTAAGAAGAGGCAAACAAATGTTTCCAAGGATGAGTGGTAGCTCATCAAAGCACAGCATCGTGGGATCGTGTGCACAGCCCTGAGTGCCATGCAGTGCTGTAAGCAGGGGGAAACGGGAGCTGCACCCATCACTGGGAGCCCAGAGCAGGCTCTGCATCCCACGTCACCAGTTAGGGGCTCAGCTCTGCTCCTTGGGTCGCTCCTCCCATAGGAAGGTTGGAAATGGGGTGGGCAGGGGGCAGCTCCCTGCTTTGTTGTGTGGGGATGGAGCTGCAGTGTGCGCGTCTGCATTTCATCTGCTCTGTTCCTTTGGCATCACAGAAACATTTGAAGCAAAATGAAAGGTGATTGTGGTGATGGTTTTTTCTCTTTTGGAACCCAGGGAATGCAGTGCCTTTGCAGCTCCTCCTCTGGGCAGCTGCTTTACTTTGCAGTGATGCAAGCAGGGTTGCTGAAGCCAGGTTGGCAGCCCTGTGCGTTGTGCCGTGGTCGTGGTGATGCTGGGTGATTAAAAGAATAGCAGTGATGATAACAGTTAAATGCCTCCATGGCATTGCTCCTCCATATACTGCTCCTCTGTAGAGCTGTGCTTGAGGCTTATTTCAACTCCTCTGTGTTTTCTTCTTTGCTGCTCTTTGTGGCATTGTGGCTCAGGAGTGCACAAATATCTTCTTGGCCAGGTTTGATTTGGGAAGGAGGATTGTGGCATCCAACTTTGGGCTGCAGACATTTGTTGGGAGCAGCTGTAGCAGTGCGTGGTGCTGCTCACTTCCTTGCTCTCCTTTGAAAGCATTCATAAAAGGAGAGTGTCAGTGGCATCTGTGTGAACGTACATGGTGTGCAGTGATACCTGTGAAAAGCAATGAACTTCTGCAGCAGCACAGTGTCTCCTATCCATGGTTCATTCTGTGTGCATGCTCTGGTGGCTGCACAAAGCAGTGCTGTGCACGACTACGTGTGCATGCACTTGTGCACGTATTCCACAGGTGCAGTTCTTTCTTTCCTCCCTTTTCACTAAAGCAGTTTGTATCTAAACGTTCGTTTTCTTCTCCCAGTGCAAAATGAATGAGAAAACATAAGGAGGGAATCTTCAGACCCTGCTGCCTTTTTCAGCTCTGCACTGGCAGGGAGGTGTGATGTGTTTGGTCTCCACAGATGGCATTTGTGTGACACAGATGAGAGTGGAGGAGGTGCAGTGAGCATTGCATGGGGCCATCCCATTGCAGCTGCTGGGAGCTGCGTTCCCTCTGGGCAATTCCCATCTGTATTTTTCTTTCCTCTGGTCATTCCCACGTGGTTTTGCAGACATGTTCCTGCGTGCTGCTTTTATCTGAGCTTTATCTCCGGGGTTGATCTGCAGGTCGGTCAGCCTGCTCTCCAGCTTTGCCCTCCTGCAGCCCATTCCTGCGGTGATGCTGCAGGGTTGGCTGTGAGCTGGATTCACTGCTGTCCCTCTGAGCCACGCTCGGAGTTGCAGGGTCAATTAGCTGCCTTCATTGCATGCTTTCTGCCAGGAAAACTCCCAATGGAGAGCACTGCATGCAGTCAACAGAGCTCACAGCTCTTTGCTGCATGCATGCACATGCTTTGGTTTCAGGCAGGAATGAGCAAGACAGGGCCAGGGGGGGCTGGGGGCTGGGGCTGGGGGCTGAGCCTGGCTCTGAGGCTGCTGTTCCTTACTGAGATAGGAAAGAAAGAGGCCGGGCAGTGCTGGGATGCTCTGCTTTCCCTCCCACACAGTGCTCACAAAAGGAGCTGCACGCTGGGTGTTGTGCAAAGTTTTGGAAATACTTTTTGAATTCCTTTCTACATCCTTTTTTTTAATCTCAATAAGGTATTTTTACAGAGCAAACCGTCCTGTTGTGCCTCAGTCCCTGCTGAGTGCTGCCGAGTGCTGTGCTGTGCTGTGCTGTGCTGGAGCCTTTAAAGCACAGGAATGACCCCCTCATGCAGGTCTGTGTTGCAGTGAAGCTGCAATGTGGCCGTTCTGCACTGGAGCACCTCGTCCATCCCCAGGGCTGGATGGGAAAGGCTGGAGGAGTGCACACCAATGGTGCCATGGGTCTGGGGGGAGGCAGAGGGAGGGTGGTGGGAGCTGTGCCTGTGGTGCAGTGCTCAGAGAGGGGCGTGGGGTTGGGGTGTTGACCCTCCTCCCCTCCTCCCAGCAGGGCTATACATCCTATGTGCATCCAATAAAAGTGCATTGTTAGGAGGAGACCGACAGAGAGCAGTGCTGAATTTAGGAAGGAGAGGAGATGCTCCATGCTCCAGCTGTTGTCTCTTTAATGATTGGAGTGCCGAAAGCAGGCAGAAAGCTTCCCTGCAGGCTGTGCTGTGGGTTTCCATTTGTGAAACAGGGATGATACCTCAGCCCTCTGCATCCATCTGTGTGGCACAGCAGCAGTTTGGTTGCAGAATGGCTGCATGGCATGCAGTGCGTGTCCACGTGTGGGGCTTCACAACAAAGTGTGGCATTCTGCAAAGCAGCTCGGGGGTCTGCTCTGAAATTGAGAGGTTCTGGGGACCTGGGGGAGAAAATAGAGCACGATGGGCGAAATAACAGGTGTATGTTCTGTGCAGCTTTGGCTGTAGGCAGGATTTTGTGGGGATGGCATGGAATTCTGGCTATAGCCAGGAGGGAGGTGAGGCACTGGAACAGGTTGCCCAAGGAGGCTGTGGATGCCCCATCCCTGCAGGCATCCAAGGCCAGGCTGGATGTGGCTCTGGGCAGCCTGGGCTGCTGGTTGGTGACCTGCACATAGCAGGGGGTTGGAACCAGATGAGCACTGTGGTCCTTTTCAACCCAGGCCATTCTATGGTTCTGTGATTCTATGATGATCCAGCTGATGTTTGGTTTTCTATGCTGGAGCAAGCCTGGTCCCAGCCCTCGTGTCACAACAGACTTTGTTCCCTGTGCTCCAATCTCACTTTGAAGTTAAGGAGTTAAATACAAATGCACGTGTACTTGGTGATAGCAGCAAACCAGAAGTGATGCATTTCATGTTTCCAGGAACGTAGTGAATATTAAATGCTCGTAAATAAATGGGTGTAAAATCATCGTGCAGGTGTTGAACATCTCTGTCCTGTTATGTTCCTCCATTGAACGCACATCTGTTCCTGTGCAGTCATTGCTTGGAGTGGTGTAAATAAGCAGACACCTCTGTGTGTCATAGGAGCAATGGAAAGTTGAAGAAGGTTGGTGCCAAACACCAGCACTGCATTCCTGTTCTTCTTCAGTGTTGGAACTGTAATTTCTGCTTGCGTTGAAGCAGTCTGCAAGGATTTCAGATGAATAGATGTCAGTTATGGAAAGCCTCAGGTCGTTTCCTTCACTAATTAGCTGCTGAATTTTCACATCACGTGGTTCAGCAGTAAGATTCCCCAGGTGATAAAGGCACTGATGGACAAACTGGGTGCCACTTTTCTCACCCTGCCCCATTGGGGAACACCGGGGCAGCTGAGCCCAGTTCCCTTCTCTGCAGGGTTGTGTTCCTTCCCAGTGCCTTTGCACGGCTTTTGGTGCTCACTTCATCTTCCTGGAGTTCCCCAGGGATCTGTGAAAGGTTTTTGCTTTAACATCAGAGGAGGTTCAGCGTGAGAGCTGTGTTTTAGCAGCAATGTATCACACTTTA